TGATAATGATATTCGTTTGAGGGAGTTTCTGTGGAACTCACGTCATCCTCACCCCCGGCGCGAAGAGCACGAGCCCAGAGCGGCCTCCGGCACCGTTTCCGGACAGATCCGGTGGATCCGGTGACGAATCCCAAACCGGCGCCCTCGCTTGAGACATCCTCACAAAACCGGCCCCGGGGGAGGTGCCCAGAGGAGCCCAGAGCGGCCTCCGGCACCGTTTCCGGACAGATCCGGTGGATCCGGTGACGAATCCCAAACCGGCGCCCTCGCTTGAGACATCCTCACAAAACCGGCCCCGGGGGAGGTGCCCAGAGGAGCCCAGAGCGGCCTCCGGCACCGTTTCCGGACAGATCCGGTGGATCCGGTGACGAATCCCAAACCGGCGCCCTCGCTTGAGACATCCTCACAAAACCGGCCCCGGGGGAGGTGCCCAGAGGAGCCCAGAGCGGCCTCCGGCACCGTTTCCGGACAGATCCGGTGGATCCGGTGACGAATCCCAAACCGGCGCCCTCGCTTGAGACATCCTCACAAAACCGGCCCCGGGGGAGGTGCCCAGAGGAGCCCAGAGCGGCCTCCGGCACCGTTTCCGGACAGATCCGGTGATCCGCTGGATCCGGTGACGAATCCCAAACCGGCGCCCTCGCTTGAGACATCCTCACAAAACCGGCCCCGGGGGAGGTGCCCAGAGGAGCCCAGAGCGGCCTCCGGCACCGTTTCCGGACAGATCCGGTGGATCCGGTGACGAATCCCAAACCGGCGCCCTCGCTTGAGACATCCTCACAAAACCGGCCCCGGGGGAGGTGCCCAGAGGAGCCCAGAGCGGCCTCCGGCACCGTTTCCGGACAGATCCGGTGGATCCGGTGACGAATCCCAAACCGGCGCCCTCGCTTGAGACATCCTCACAAAACCGGCCCCGGGGGAGGTGCCCAGAGGAGCCCAGAGCGGCCTCCGGCACCGTTTCCGGACAGATCCGGTGGATCCGGTGACGAATCCCAAACCGGCGCCCTCGCTTGAGACATCCTCACAAAACCGGCCCCGGGGGAATCCCACCGTTGGACATCCGGTGACGAATCCTCGCTTGAGACATCCTCACAAAACCGGCCCCGGGGGAGGTGCCCAGAGGAGCCCAGAGCGGCCTCCGGCACCGTTTCCGGACAGATCCGGTGGATCCGGTGACGAATCCCAAACCGGCGCCCTCGCTTGAGACATCCTCACAAAACCGGCCCCGGGGGAGGTGCCCAGAGGAGCCCAGAGCGGCCTCCGGCACCGTTTCCGGACAGATCCGGTGGATCCGCTGGATCCGCTGGATCCGACGAATCCCAAACCGGCGCCCTCGCTTGAGACATCCTCACAAAACCGGCCCCGGGGGAGGTGCCCAGAGGAGCCCAGAGCGGCCTCCGGCACCGTTTCCGGACAGATCCGGTGGATCCGCTGGATCCGGTGACGAATCCCAAACCGGCGCCCTCGCTTGAGACATCCTCACAAAACCGGCCCCGGGGGAGGTGCCCAGAGGAGCCCAGAGCGGCCTCCGGCACCGTTTCCGGACAGATCCGGTGGATCCGCTGGATCCGGGATCCGACGAATCCCAAACCGGCGCCCTCGCTTGAGACATCCTCACAAAACCGGCCCCGGGGGAGGTGCCCAGAGGAGCCCAGAGCGGCCTCCGGCACCGTTTCCGGACATCCGATCCGCTGGATCCGGTGACGAATCCCAACCGGCGCCCTCGCTTGAGACATCCTCACAAAACCGGCCCCGGGGGAGAGGAGCGGCCTCCGGCACCGTTTCCGGACAGATCCGGTGGATCCGCTGGATCCGACGAATCCCAAACCGGCGCCCTCGCTTGAGACATCCTCACAAAACCGGCCCCGGGGGAGGTGCCCAGAGGAGGCCCAGGTGCCCAGAGGAGCCCAGAGCGGCCTCCGGCACCGTTTCCGGACAGATCCGGTGGATCCGCTGGATCCGGTGACGAATCCCAAACCGGCGCCCTCGCTTGAGACATCCTCACAAAACCGGCCCCGGGGGAGGTGCCCAGAGGAGCCCAGAGCGGCCTCCGGCACCGTTTCCGGACAGATCCGGACAGATCCGGTGGATCCGCGCCCCGGGGGAGGTGCCCAGAGGAGGAATGAGGAGGAGGAGGAGGAGGAGGAGGAGGAGGAGGAGGAGGAGGAGGAGGAGGAGAAGATGATGGAGCTGCGGGGTGGAGGAGGACAGACGGAGGCAAGAGAAGGATGGAGGAGGAGGAGGAGGAGGAGGAGGAGGAGGAGGAGGAGAGGAGGAGGAACCTCATCCTCACCCTCGCCAACAAGCGCACGCACCTTCTTCTATATACAGAAACTCCCGATCAACCGCAGAGCGGCCGGCTAGTTATCCTTCCTCCATGCTTCTTTTTCCTTATTTCGCCGTACCCTGCGCAGTCTCCCCATCCTCCTCAGTTCTTTTTTGCGGAGGCTCCTCCTTGGAGAGCCTCTGGGGGCCTCAGAAAAGTTGTTTCAGGCTTTCTTAAGGCCTTCTGGAGGCCTCCTGGGCGTATTCTGGGGGCCTCTGGGGACTTCCTCGGGCCACCCTGCCTCCAACCGCGGTCTCCCTGAACGACCGGGTCACGATTTGGAATGCTTCGGAGGGTGTCTTGGGGCCATCTTGGGCCGCCATGAGGCTCTCTGAGGGCCATCTTGGACCCGTGTTGTGCCGTTTTGGGGCTCTCTTGGACTGCCTGGAAGCTCTTTCGGATGGTTGTGGGGCGATGTTGGAGCCTCCCAGGCGGCTTCGGACGCCCAGAAGACCGCCGTCTTGGAGCGTCGGGAAGCCGAAAAGAGGAGAACCCCAAAATTCAACAACAACCAACAGAAAATCAAAGAGTTGTGCCTCTTGGGGGCTTCTTGGGAGTGCTCTTGGAGGCCTCTTTGGGGCCGTCCTGGAGGCCTTTTGGGCCATCTTGAGGTCACGTCGGTCACTCTTGGAGCGCTCTTGTGCTGTCTTGGGGGTCTCTGGGACGTCTCCGATGACCCCCCTGCTCGCCCTAGGTGTGCTGGGAAGGCTTGGCAAAACGCCCTGCGAGGCCCGGGGGGCCGCTTCGAGGCCCGTCCGGAGGGTCCCAAAGCTCCAGATCCCGGGAGTTCGGTTTGGGGGGGGGGGACGGGTTTTCCCCCCGCCCAGGCTTGTAAAAATATAGGAAGAGGAATAGGTATATATGTATATGGGAAACGCTCGAGGCTTCAATGCAACCTGTGGCTCCGAGCCTGCCTGGACGCACACGGTATTCGTCGTATTTGTTCGATCGATCGCAACAAAGCTGTACACCATTTGGGCACCAAGCGACGGCGAGGTGTTGCTCAAAGCAGCTCGCGCAAAGACATCAGGAGGAGAAAGGAAGACGAGGAGGACAAAGACTGGTGCGACGGGTGGTGCTTGCATGCCCAAAATCGGTGCGACAGGTGCTGCTTGCAAGCCCCAAGCAGAGCCGGGAAGACCGACGTAGGGTCAACGCGTTCGCTCTGCGCGGCACTCTGTTATGGATATGACGATGTGCCATTTACTGGAGCTCATATCGCTGCTGCCCGCGAGCCTCAATGGCATAGCAAGGATCTGTGCTCTTCCCGCCCGTCAGGGAAAAGAAGAACAAGCACGTCATCCTGATGTGCTGCAACTGCTAATCCGACTCCATACCAAAGTACTGTAGGGGCCCGACCAAAAGAGATCTTTCAGAAGAAACCCAACCCTGAGACCCCTGGACGCCCATTGATGTTTGGTGTGGAAACGTCACGTTTTCCATAGCAAAACCATCGAAACCATCGAAACCCAGGGCACACTCGAGGGTGTCTCTTGGCATGGGCCTCCACTGCAGGCATACGGCGGCCCTTCTCTCGCTTCTGCCAGGCGGAACCATGGGCGATCCTCAGGTCATCCTGGCTGTACCCTGTGGCGAAAGCACTGCTGCAGCTGGATGGCGAGAGGCCAAAGGTAGGAGGCAATTACTGGGAGGCTCCCGTCGGAAATATTCAAGAGAATTAGGCCCCACTGGGGGTTACTACGCAAGATTAGGCCGCGGAAAAACTGGGAATAAGCTGGATGAAGCAGGATTAAGCCGGACTAATGGAATTCAGCCGGATTAAGCCAGATTTCGGACCAGGGGTAAATCAGAATTTGACCTCCCAGGAATTGCATCCGAACCAGGGCAAATACCGGCATCATCCTCAGATAGGCATCGTGCAACGTGTCTGCACCTCGTCCGTTCGACCTGGCCCTTAATGCAATCAGTATCGCCAGCATGCTGCGTCGGTGCTTCTGTCAGATTCCATCGCGTGCTGCCATGCCAGCGATCTCTCAAGAATACCCGCTGGATTTAGGTCGGGCATGTCGTCCTACAGGCGGATCTTGAATGGCAAGTAGTACATAGTCAACAAATGCCCCAAAATAGACAAAAGAGCACGAAAAGTATTCTGGAAGATTCCACCTGTAGAGGAACATGTCCGACTTAACGCTGGAGCTTGGAGCTGAACTGACCGCACGCTGCCGCATTGTTTCGGGACTCAAGGGCCAGCCACGACCCACACTCCCACGAGGGGGTGATGTACAAATCAAGTTGTCGCCAGTCGGTTGCAGCGCCCGTTCCTGGCAAGAGTCCGAAGCCTTCGTCTGAATACCACTGCTGGTCGCCTGCGCTGCGCTTGTTCGACTTCGAATAGAAGACTCTGCGCAGACGTGGGCCAAGCAGCCCGCGACCTGACTTGAGTCACAAACTGCAGGAGGATGAAAGGAGAAGAAGAAGGAGGATGAGGACCAAGAAGAAGAGGAGGATACAGATTGCTGCGATCCCCCGCCGCCTAGCTGGCTCCACGCTCTTTCCTCCCAGAGGTCTCCAGAGGTCACCATAGGTCCCCTGGAGGCTTCAGGAGACACCGAGACACGAGAATGGCCAAAGAACGTCCCCGAACCTCGACTGACGAGCTTCGGGGCGAGGGCGAGGGGCAGCAGTGCGGGGACGAGGCCGCGCCGGCGAGGGCCTGGTCGAGCGCCTCCTGGAAGACCTTGTTCGGGTCCTCTATCTTGCCGAACGCTTCCTCCATGGCCTCGCTGGACGGGCTTCCCATATTGCCGGTGGGGTGGGCGTGGGGCGCACTCACCCTCGCCCACGCTGTCGTCACCGGCGAAGTGCGAGGATCGAGCTTCGAGGATCTAGGATCGCTGTCCTTGGGCCTGAGGCCAGGATAGAAGTACAGCCGGAACTGTTGTTTGAGCATCTTCTCCCACCGTGTGCCCCCCACATCGATGGGGCCCCAGAAGGCGCTGTGATTCTCGACCTCTCCTCCTGCCGAATCGATCCGACCCTGGTCTCTTACTTGTACATACTCCTACTGCTATGCCCCTTCGTTCGTGATGGCCCCGCATCTCTTTTTCTCAACGCATCTGCCGTGCTCGTGCAAAGCAGGAGTCAATTTTGTGAGGTGCTATTTTGGACAACAGTCCCTACATACCAAGAACCAGGCGTCATCCAATGACGAAAGCCTTCTGAATGGGGAGCCCAAGCCAGCTCGGAGTGGCTACGCTGGCAATCCAAATCAACATATTCCGATCACTTCGACTGCATATTTGGTTGGGAGGTGGGAGGAGATGGAAAGAAGAAACGGAGGAGGGGGAACAGCAGCAGCAGAGGAAACGCATCAACAAGACTATTCTTGATCTCTGAAGGCCCACACTTGCCCTCGGCATGGCTAAGCGGCCTCAAGACACTACCGAACTGTTCCCCCACCAATGGCATCGATGATTGACGATACTGTTCTCCTTGTATCTCTACTGTCTCGAGCGCCGTCTCTGTCCACACATGTACACTATCGCACCGTAGACGAGAATGGTAGGACGAGTCAGTGGAGAACATGATTTGGGAGAGGTGCTGGATATCTACAGGGAAAGACATGATGACGATCCGACTTGAGCCAAAGCGATCACGGAGCGCATTCCACCACACACACGCAAGTCCATCGGTAAAACAGAGAAGACATCTCCGCACGAATGAGCAAAAGACGCTCATTCCTAGTCCCTCGAAAAAATGGGCTTGAGAAAGAGCCGAGCACAATCGGTGTACGCCGTGCTCCAACAGGCGCTCACTCTGGGACAGCTAGCAGTGCCTTGGACAGCGGGACCCCGTCCCCATCGCTGGTCTCACAGGGGTGCCTCCTGCCCAGAGAAAAGCCTCCTCCAAACTTTGAAGTGTCGCAGCGCCTTCGTACGGACTGTCTGCTAGAAGCCTTGGCCGCATGGCGTTTCTCCCAACAGTGCCAAGAAGCCTTCGCCAGCACTGAACATGCTGGCACCCAAGACAGGAGGAGGAGGAGGAGGAGGAGGAAGAAGAGGAGGAGGAGGAGGAGCAGGAGCAAAACGGGAGGAAAAAAGCGCACCAGAAACAAACCACTAATGGAGCTGCCGACTGGGCTCGGCGCGAGCCCTGCCCGTGACCGCGGGGTCATCTTTCCTGACCTTGAGAGAGCATGATCTTCAGAATTTACGCGGCGAGCCAAGGGGGGAAGTGAGAAGGGGCGTGCCTTCTCAGAAGGCTCGGAAGTCCCCCGGACTTCTGAGAAGTTGTCTAAGCCTTCCCCGAAGACAGAAACAGCTTCTCAGACGGCGCGAGGGTTTCTGAGAAGCCCCGCCGCCTTCTGAGAAGGCCTTCTCCTTCTCAATTCCCCCCCTCGCTCGCTGCCGAAAATTGAGTCCGAACACACCTAAGGCGCAGCTGAGCCGCGTTAGTCTCTGTCATCTGCGACTGGTTCTTACAATCGACCAGGAGGAGGGGATGCGGCATGCACCTGGTAGCACTATTTAACTACCTCGCCCATGGCTTCTCAAACGACGTCCAGGTCGACGGCGGCTCTTCGGCCCGACTTAGATGGGGCGGCCAGCGTGGAAAGGGCGTCGTAAATTCCGTTCGCGTCGACCGCGCCCACGTTTCCACCTGGGTTGCATGTCCAGGACGGTACAATCCTCTTTCTGCAACGAAAGAAAGAAGCCGAGGTTGGCTCGCCACTTCTCGCGAACGACGCCCCCTCGGACGACGTCCTGCAACATGACGTGCAACCACCCAGCTCCGCGAGAGTGAATGTCTTTCCTGCCAGGGCACAAGCGACTGGCGACGCGACTTCCCCGATCTCCTGGCGATATACATCTGCCAGGGCCAGGGAAACGCTGGCGATATACATCTGCCACGCTTCCTGGGGATGTCGCATGCCCCCTTCTCATCGGCCCTCACCCCCCCGCCCCGCAGCCGCCGGCACTGCCCATCGCAAATCCATCGGACTTGAACTGCCGCGCAATCACGGACAGAGAAGCGGTGGATCCAAGATGGCCGACCACTTTCTTCGCGTCGAGCAGGTCCTTAAGTTGGGAGCGTTACCACCGGAGGCCAGAATGGGTGCCGCCCCTGCGGCCTCTGCGCGGGTTTCACGACCAACCCATAAGAGAACGGAGGGCCGCGACCTCGCCCCCAATGTAAGGTTCCCAGCGATCCCCCCGACGCCCCCTCGCCAGCGGGATCTTGCGAATATGCTCGAGGATGTAACTACTATCTTGATCCACAGGAATTCGGCCCCCCTGGAACCCGAGACGCCGCCCTGTATATTCCACCCCGGAGGCCCGAGGCATCTGAACGCCGCGTCTTCCCAGAAGGAAACCTCGCGCGAAACGGAGCGAGACAGAGGCTCTCGCGACACTCGGGAACAGGCGATGGCCCAATGGCCACCCTCAACGAGAACCCGGGCCGCGAGCTCCCCCTCCTCGCGCTCGACGAACCAGCGAGGCTCGAGCCCGGCGCGCTCGGAGCCTCTGGGCTGCACCAAGCTGGCACCGGCCCTGCGCGAGGCGAGCGGCGCGCCATCCAACCCGAGAACAGGAGCGGAGGGACCCAGTTTGGGTGACCCAGAAGGGGGTCCAGCTGAAAGGGTGCGGTGCAATAGATTTGGGGCAAGTGTATTGCAAGTGTACTGCGCCGGAGCATTGTATCGCGTTGTCTTGCACGCGCAAGTCCAGCCATAGATTTGCGCCCCGGAATGTGTTGCACGCCCCAAATGTATTGCAACCCCACAAACCTATTACACCAAATCTATTGCACCGCCCCCTTGTCGCTGGACCCCCTTTTGGGTCAACCCGACCCAGGAAGAGCGGGAACTCCCTCGCAGGATTCATCAAGCACTCCGCCCCTGGCCCACTGAAAGGCCCCAATGGACAGAAGGCGATCTTCATGTCATCGGTGCAAACCACGAAACGACACACCAAAGACGGAACCAGAAGCAGCATGAGGGCTTCCACGCATGGGGTTAGGGCGTAAGCTTGGGATTCTTTCACGTCCTCACCCTTGCGCCCCCGGACGCGCCACTCAGATCTGGCCCTGGGCTTGGCGAGCGTCCTCTCCTGCGGTTTCCACCGCCTGACCCTTCGCCTAGACACGGCTCGGGCGCGGAAGGGCCGTCTTATCCCCTTCGCATCATTGGCTGGGGCGCACCACCGCCGCCCGGGCACCTCGGCGATGGCTCCCCACTCGCCCGCGTCGGACACGTCGCACAGTTCTTACTCTTCGGGGGCCAGGCGCTCGCATTGAACCTCGGCCCCCCAGTTGGTGAGCAAAGACTCTAGACAATCTCCGTTTTCTTGAACGAAGATCTCAGCGCCAGCGTTGCCGTTGGAACACTCCACTCGGAATCCGCTCCAAGCCTCACGAGCAAGGTCTTCCTGAACTCAATTCAGGAAGACCTCTGGCCCCATCGCCCCCTCGCAAATCTCGACGAGCTGGTCGGGCCCAGTTCTCTCGGCGGCCCGATGAGGAGAATGGGGCCGACCGCCCCCCGTGCTACTCGAGTTTCTTAACCCGTCGTCTGACACCCCCTTCGAGGTTACCGCCGAACCTCTCTCGGAAGGTGCGAACCGTCCCCCCCATGTCAAGCATTCTCAGCCCACCTTGGCCCTGCGCCAGGCGACGTACGGCAGGTTCGTGTCGTGCCGACCCCAGCGTTAGTTTTTGACACCGCAGGGATCGTTCAACCTTGAACGATCGGCCGCTGCCGCAACGTCCGATCGTTCAACATCAATCGATTCTGGGTCGCCGGCGGCGTTCAACCTTGAACGCCCGCGCTGGGGTCGCCGCTGGTCGACACGACGCAAACCTACCGTAGCCGACTTCTGGCCGCAAACTCCGCGGGGGGACGCCGACTTGGGACGTCAGACCTGCCGCGCCGCGGGGCCGCAAAGGGGAGGGGGGCACGCGACGAGGCGGGGGAGGCTCGAAACTCGCGCTCCTCGCCCCGGGGCGGCGAGGTCGGGCTGGCCCCGTCGGGGTGCCCGCACCCCTGCCCGAGACCGCCCCGGCCGAAGCCCGTGGCGACGGCAAGGGCGCCGAGCGAGTGGACGCGTCATCAAGAGGCCCCGATCGATCTCTGGGACCCGCGCGTCTTGCACGGCGGCACATGCTGCCTCATCTCTTGGGGTTCAGCGCAGACCGGGAGGCGGCTGACTTGCTCCCGGCGGACCCAGAAGGCGGCGATGGTGGCAAGTCGGGCCTGTCCCCCTGCGGGCCAGTTTTGGACGAGAAATAAGAAACAGTCAAAAAATACCCTAAAATATTCACAAATGATCCAAGAATCGTCCCAAGACTATGATTTGACTCTGTTTGGACATTCCTCCCGTAGAGGCACAGGCCCGACTTCAGGATGGCTCCCTGGGCGATTCGGGCCTCTGGCCCAGCCAGCGGGGACTGCGGCGAGGCCGCTCCCCGAGGTGCGTCGGGGCACCGCGCTCTTCGGGGGGCAGAGGGAGGCCCCTCGGCGGCCGCGCTCCGCGCCCTGCGCGATAGGAGCGCGAGCCCGGGCGATCCCGGAGCACGTGGCCGAAGAGGAGCGCCCGACGAGAGCTCGGTCCCCCAGGAGCCCTTCAGCAGTGGCGCGCCGATCCTGCCCCGCTGGGAGGAGGAGGCAGGAGGAGGAGGAGGAGGAGGAGGAGGAGGAGGAGGAGGAGGAGGAGGAGGGGGCGGAGGCAGGAGGAGAAGCAACCACACCGCAGCCCATGCCGTCGCACCGCTCCGGAGGACGACGAGCCCCGGGCCCGGCTGCTCGTCCTTCTGCAATCGGGCGCGTCGCCAGATCCTCCCGAGTGGCCCTCCTCCGCGCGTGCACCCGCTGCCCTGGAGAATTTGCGTGGACCCCGACGGGACGGGGCGCGGGCGGCGCGCCCCGATCGCTTCTGACTCGAGCTATCGAGGAGCTCCTCCCTGGCCAGTCGTCTCATGGCGCCCCCTCGAAGCGCGCCCCGCAGCCGCGGCGTCGCGACCCGAGGTTGCTCAAGACAGGTCGTCGGCGCCTACCGCCTGGGGGTGGATCGCCAGCCGCGGTGTCGTTGGGCACCCCACTGCGAAACCCAAACACGAGCTGGCATCGGGCGCACCCCTCTGGTTGAGGTGTCGGTTCTTCACAGACTTGACCTCGCGAGCCAAAAAAATCCAAGCTCCGCGGAGGCGGGGACGAGAGCGACCCAGGAGGCATGCACAAAAATGTCCTTGAGCCCCCCCCCGCCGCTCAGCGCGGTCGTTTTGCCGCGAGCTGAATCTGCAATGTGCTGAAAGATCCCAAGATGCCCAATCCCGCGCTCGCACCCCTCCTAGCCCACCGTCGGCAAGGGGGGACAACGGGGGGGGCGACTGGCCCGACGCAGGACCTCACGAAAGCCACCCGCGTTCCCAGAGCCGATCCACCGTGAAGCTCTATGTCATATGGAAGGTGGCGCCGCGACGAGTGACGCCGTGGAGGGCGAGCTGCTGGGCCCGAGCGGCGAGGAGAAATCGCCGAGGGAAATGGCGCGATTCAACTCAAACGCCATGGGAAGAGCCAGCGGCCCACTGTCGGCTGCCTTCGAGTGGGCGTCGCAGCCTCCGCGCCGAAATTCATAGTGAACGACGCCTGAATACGTCTCTTAAAACGGGGGGGGATCTCGAAGCCTTGCCCTGGGGGGGGCTTGTCGGGAACCTGCCCCAGATTCGGGACCTCCTCTTCGGCTTCCACTGGAAATTTCTCGGCCATTCGCAGCTCGGCGTAACTCGGCCCCCCGATTGCCAATATTTCCCGGGCGTGGGATTCGGAAAAACTGTCTCGATGCTAGCTGGCTAACTCTAATGGCCTCGGCCAGCACCCTGGCAGACTTGGCCGGGTAGCCGTGGTCTTTGGCCGCGATCAAACCGCCGACGAGCTGCGCGCGCGCTTGCCGGCGCACCGAGAACCAGCAATTTGCTCCAAGACGGCGCCGCGGTTGGACATGGGCCTAGCGGTTCCCTTCGACTGCGCGTTATCTGAGAGACTCTCAGACCAAAGCAACAGAGATCAATGCAAATGGCGTCGACACCTGGAAGGGTTACACATACACACATTCCTCTTCCTATATTTTTGCAAGCCCAGGCGGGGGGAAAACCCGTCCCCCCCTCCCCAAAACCGGACTCCTGGGATCTGGAGCTTTGGGACCCTCTGGACGGGCCTCGAAGCGGCCCCCCGGGCCTCGCAGGGCGTTTTGCCAAGGCTTCCCAGCACACCTAGGGCGATCAGGGGGGTCATCGGAGACGTCCCAGAGACCCCCAAGACAGCACAAGAGCGCTCCAAGAATAACCGACGTGCCAGGACGGCCCCAAAGAGGCCTCCAAGAGCACTCCCAAGAAGGCCCCAAGAGGCACAAATCTTTGATTTTCTGTTGGTTTTTGCAGAATTCTGGGGTTCTCCTCTTCTCGGCTTCCCGACGCTCCAAGACGGCGGTCTTCTGGGCGTCCGAAGCCGCCTGGGAGGCTCCAACATCGCCCCACGACCATCCGAAAGGGCTCCCAGGCAGTCCAAGAGAGCCCCAAAACGGCACAACACGGGTCCAAGATGGCCCGCAGAGAGCCCCATGGCGGCCCAAGATGGCCCCAAGACACCCTCCGAAGCATTCCAAATCATGACCCGGTCGTTCAGGGAGACCGCGGCTGGAGGCAGGGTGGCCCGAGAAAGTCCCCAGAGGCCTCCAGAATACGCCCAGGAGGCCTCCAGAAGGCCTTAAGAAAGCCTGAAACAACTTTTGTGAGGCCCCCAGAGGCTCTCCAAGGAGGAGCCTCCGCAAAAAAGAGCTGAGGAGGATAAGGAGAATGCGCAGGATACGGCGAAAATAAAGAATAAGAAGCATGGAGGAAGTTTCACGAATAACATTACTATAGCGGCGATGCTGGAAAAGGCAACAAGGAGTTATCTCTAAATTGTCGGCTTGACCTTCCTGCTATTCCGCCTGCATGCCAAACTTCAAGGACCAAGGTGCATGGCGCGAAGCGCCACTGCAGTCTTGTATATATGTGTATATATATATGTATGTGTATATGTATATGTATATGTATACATAGACTCCTTCTCGAGTGTTATCATGAGAAAACCCTCTCCCACACACACACACACACACACACACACACTCCCCGTACATAAATTCGGCCCTGGGCGCTCCCACCAACGTGGAATGACAATTTCCAGTTTGGGGAGCCCCTCAGCGCCACCCCACGCCGCTCGGGCGGGCCCACGATCGCTTCCCGGACGGTCCCGCGGAGGCCCGAGACGGCCCAAGACCGTTCCAGAGCAGCCCATGGGCGCTCAAGGAGGGCCCAAAGTGACTTCAAGTCGGATCAAGAAGCCGCCAAGACGCCGCAAGAGGCCGCCCAGGGGGATCCCCAAGAGGCTCAAAGAATCCCATTCCCTGTAACAAATTGTACATGTTCTGCATAGTCCCTTCTTTGCTCTTCCAGGCGTCCAAGACGGCCTAGCCGGTCCCAAAGACCGCCCCAATGCGGCCCAAGAAATCCCGAAGAGGGCCCCAAGACAGCCCCAAAGAGCCCCAACACGGCCCACGACAGCCCCGAGACGGCCCACATGGAGCCCCAGAGATCCCCCCAAAGCTCCCAAGACAGCCCCAAGAAGGCCACAAGAGGCTCCCGAGAGGACCCGAGAAGGCCCCAGGACGGCCAACGCCCCCCAGGACGGCCCAAGAAGGTCCCGCAGCGGGCCACGAGGGCCACCAGACGGCCCAAAAGAGCCCCACACAAAGCCCCGCCAAGGCCCCGAGAGGCCACACTCATTGATCTCCGCAAGGTTGTATCTTAGATGCCTTGGTTATTCCTCTAGCGCCACGTTCATACCTTCGGCCCTGGGACCCCTTCTGAGCCCCATGAGCCCAATGAGCGCAACGGGCCCTATGAGCCCTCCGAGCAAGATGCGCCCTTTGATCCCTATGATCCCTATGACCCTCTGAGCCCTACGAGGCATAGGACTATGAGCCCCATGAGCCCCACAAGCCCTATGACCCCCATGAAACCCATGAGGTCTACAAGCCCTATGCGTCCTACGAGTCCTATGAGCTTTATGAGCCCTCTGCGTCCCATGACCCCCACGAGCCCTACGAGCCCTGTGAGCCCGTGTCAGCCCGCCTTACAAGCCCTATGAGCCTTACGAGCCATATGAAACCTATGAGCCCTGTGAGCCCCATAAGCCTCACGAGCCCCATGAGCCCTACAAGCCCAATGAGCCCTATGAGCCACATGACCTCTATGAGCCCGATGGGCCCTATGAGTCCTCTGAGCCCGATGGTTTTGATGAGCCATAGGCGCCCCATGAGCCCTATGAGCCCCACGAGCCCTATGAGCCCCTCTGGGCCCTCGGATCCCTCAAAGCCCTATAAACCCTATGATCTATACGAACTCTATGACACATAAGAGCCACATGAGCCCTAAGAGCCCTATGAGCCTCCTGAGCCCTATGAGACCTATGAGCCCCTCTGCGCCCTCTGAGTATTCATGAGCCCTATGAGCCTCACGAGCACCATGAGCCCTCATGAGCCCCATGAGCCCTACGCGCTCTGTGAACCCCATGAGCCCTATGATCCATATGAATCCTATGAGCCCTATGAGCCCTGTGAGCTCTGTGAGCCCAATGATTCTTTACGAGCCCTATGCACACCATGAGCCCTATGAGACATGCGAGCCCTACGCGCCCCTCTGAGCCCTCTGAGCCCTACGAGCCCTATGAGCCACATGAACCCTATAGCTCTACGAGCCCCATGCGCAATATGAGCGCCCGATGAGCACAGTGACACCTATCAGCCCCGTGGGCCCCTCTGGGCCCTCTGAGCCCCATGAGCCACATGAACTCTATGCGTTCCATGAGTCCTGTGAGCCCTATAAGCCCGATGACACTTATGGACCTCGTGAGCCCCATGAGCCCTATAAACACTATGCCCTGTGAGCCCCGTGAGCCCATGAACCCTCTGAGCCTCATGAGCCCCGTGAGCCCTATGCGCCCTATGACCCCTATGAGTCCCATGAGCCTGGTGAGCCCCATGTCGCCTATGAGCCCCCTGAGCCCGATGAGCGTGGGAGCCCTATGAGCCCCATTTGGCCGCGCTCGGAAGCGTCACGCTCTGCTACCACTGTTCCCCCACCAACGGCGTCGATGGATGACGATACTGCTCACAATGTATCACCGCTGGCCCAAGCGCCGTCTGTCCAGACAAGCACACTGCCGCATCGTGCAAAAAGAAGATCATGGTAGGAAGAGTAGTGGAAGAAATGAGATGGGAGAGGTGCTGGAAGTGCATGGTGGAAGAAGTGATAATTGTCCGGCTTGAGCCAAAGCGAGCACGGAGCATGCTCAAGCCCTCCTCTACGCACTCAAGCCCATCGGTAAAACAGAGAAGACATCCCAAAACGAATGAGGAGGTGGTCATTCCCATATAAACGACGGTTGACCCACAGACATGGCCTTCTCCAGAAACTTCCTGTCCTCGTCGGTCATGACCTTGAACTTCGAGGGCGCGGTGCCATCATGGTAGTTGGTACTCCTTTCCAACTCCACGTTCCAACCCAACTCCGCTCCCTGGTGAGCCTCCTGCTTGCCTGCTTCATCCTCCTCATCCTCCTCCTCTTCCTCCAGCTCCTCCTCCTCCTCCTCCGTTCCTGCTCCTCCTCCTCCTCCTCCCTCCTCCTCCTCCTCCTCCTCCTCCTCCTCCGTCCTCCTCCGAATTCTCCTCCTCCTCCTCTTCCTCCTCCTCCTCCTCCTCCTTGTTCCTCCTTCCTGCTTCTCCTCCGTCCTCTGGCCTCCTTTCTCCGTCCTCCGTCCTCCTCCTCCTCCGTCCTCCGCCTCATCTCCTCTCCTCTCCTCTCCTC